CCCCCCCCCACTTGCTACCGCCAAATTTTTGCACCCGGACCCTTCAACTGCATCCTCTGCCTCCTCCTCCCCACCCCCCGCAGGGCACAGACCTCCAGAAGAAAATTGACCATGAGATCCGCATGCGGGAGGGGGCCTGCAAGCTGTTGGCGGCTTGTACTCAGCGGCCGCAGGCCCTGGAGGTGACGAAGAGCCTGCTGGTCTGCAACAACCGAATCCTGGCCTACATGGCGGAGCTGCAGCGCATGAAGGAGGCGCAGGTGATGCAGCACATGGCTCGGCGGTGAGTTGGCCTCTGGGAGCTGGAGCGGGGGTGGGGGGGTGGGGTGGGGAGGCACCAGCTGGAAGTCTTGCTGGGTTGGTGTGCAGGCAGACGCGTGCAGAGGGCCACGGAAGCAGAGAAATCAAGCATCCTGGAGCGCAGACGCTTTGCTGGCTTCTGTTGCCATGGAAACCTGCTCAGGCCCACCTCATTTTCGGCCACTTTCCCGGTCCTTTCCTTTCCCTCCCTGCCTCCTCCTGTGCTCACCTTCTTCCCGGTGGGGATTGGGGGGCAGCCCGTCAAGGATCTTTGGGGCTGCCTCATTCTGGGGAGTGTGGCGAGGGGGCGAGGAAAGCCTCTCTTCCTGGCAGCTTCAGGGTTTTTGACCTCCCTTCCACCAGGCTGGGCAGGAAGCAGAGCAACACACACACACACACACACACACCTTGCTCTGACGCTCCCTCCCTCCTTAGGTTTAATCCAGGTGAAAACCCCTTAAGGACTCCTCTTGTTCATATTAATCCCCACTGATATTAGTGTTTTTTTGAACGCCTGTTTCGCTCAGTTCACGCGTGATTTTCTCAAGTTGCCACAAGAAATACAGTACTGCCTTTCTGGTGGCAGTCAGAGTCATAAATTCCGTGCTTTGTATCGGGAGCGTTTTAATCATTGCAATCGTCGTTTTAATAATCCTTGGTTTCACTTTCTCCTCTACCTCCTGCCCCCCCCCCCCGAATTTAGTCCTTCTGAGGCTGGATCCACGGACAGTCGCTTACCATGTCGGGGCCGAATCTGTGTCTCGGGTAAGGAGGGGCTGGTCCTCGGGGGTAAAGCCTGGCGAGGCTTTGCTCCCCCTCACACGTCTCAGTGGAGCCAGAAAAGAAATGGGAGGGAGGGTCTTATACCCATTACCTTTTCAACGGGACGTTGTATTTTGCAGCATTCTCAGACCTTCCCGGCCTCAGGTAGCATTTTAGTTAAAGAGAATTAGAGCAACCCCCTTTTTAAAAAAAAAAAAATTCACATTTTATGGTTGGAAAGGACAGTAGTCGAATGATTCAGTCCGAATGGTAGTATTATTTTTTTTAAATTTAAAATAAAGTTTATTTAAGTTTCATATATTTCAAACGTGGTAGTATTTCTATTGTTAGCGTTCGTCTCTGCCTATCAGGAAACTTTTGCTAGGAATAATGGAAGAATCGCACTATAAGGAAGAAGGAGCTCTGCTACTTTGGCCCACGAGGCCAGCTATCCCAACCTTCATTTCACCTGGGCTAAAGAGACAGAGCCTTATAAGGAAGCCGGGAAAAGCTTCACCCACTGACCCGCCCACCCACCACGGTTCCTGGCTGCCCTCCTTTTATCCTGCAGGCCGTTCAGGCACCCTATGAAACCAGCATGGCTCCCCTGGGGTTTTTGTAACTTTCTCTTCTGGGCAAGGGATGGCACTGGAGTTTTGTCCAGCAGAGATGCTGGGTTTTGCCCAGTTAATCCTGTCCTTCAATTCCGGCTCCAATCTCGCCCAGCCAGGCTCAGCTTCCAGGCCCTTAGACCAGAGCTCTCCAACCTTGGCAACTTTAAGATTTGTGGACTTCACCTCCCAGAATTCCCAAAGCTGGCTGAGGAATTCTGAGAATTGAATAGAATTCTTTATTGGCCAAGTGTGATTGGACAGACAAGGAATTTATCTTGGTGCAAATGCTCTCAGTGTGCATAAAAGAAAAGAGACATTCGTCAAGAGTCACGAATCATAAGGTGCAACACTTAATGATAGTCATGGGGTATATAGTAAATAGAATATAGTCATAGGGTACAAATAAGTAATCAAATCATACTAGGAAACAATATAAATCATAAGGATACAAGCGACAAAGTTACAGTCATACAGTCACAAGTGGGAGGAGATGGGTGATGAGGAGTGATGAGAAGATTTAACAGTAATAGTAGTGCAGACTTTGTAAATAGTTGGACAGTGTTGAAGGAATGATTTGTTTAGCAGAGTGATGGCGTTTGGAAATATAAATTGTAAAGATACAAGCAACACGATTATAGTCATAAGTGGGAGGATGGGTAAAAGGAAGGATGGGAAGATTAATAGTAATAGTAGTGCAGACTTTGTAAATAGTTGGGCAGTGTTGAGGGAATTATTTGTTTAGCAGAGTGATGGTGTTTGAGGAAAAACTGTTCTTGTGTCTAGTTGTTCTGGTGTGCGTGGTTTTGAGGATGGAGGTTGAAACAGTTTATGTCCGGGATGTGAGGGGTCTGTAGATATTTTCACAGCCCTCTTTTTGACTCATGCACTATACAGGGCCTCAATGGAAGGCAGGTTGGTAGCAATTGTATCCCGGCGCTTAAAGTTGCCAAGGTTGGAGACCCCTGCCGTAGACCTTTGGGACCAGGGTAGGCGGGGCAGAAGAAGCTTCCCCCAGCACAGCTTGTGCACAGCCAGGATTGGCCTGGGGCAGCCACCCCGCATGCCCTGTTGAAGAGGTCCCCGATCTGCAGCAGGCAGCCCTGGAGCCCAGCCTCTGCTCGGGGGGGGGGGGGGATCCACTTCCCAACTTTTTCCCAAGGAAATTCAGAAAGAAGCCGAGTGGGGCCAGTCCCTGCCTAACTGACCACCGCACTCCATTCAGTTCCATTTATCTTTGTCTAAAGGACGGGGGACTAAGGTTTGTGACTGTAAACAAGCTGTGCATCGACGTCCTTAATGCCTTGTGTGTCCATACAGATCATCACCCGTAATTCTCTTTCCTTCCTCCCCCCTCAGATCTACGGATCCCCCTGATGTGGAAGGACACCGAATATTTCAAGAACAAGGGGGGTAGGTTCCCACGTGGTCTTTCTGTCTCCTCCTCCTCCTTTCCGTTCGTTTCTCACGTTCACTCAGCGGCTACGTAACAGACTTCAACCAGGGATCTGCCAACTTGGAACAAGCTGGTGTACCGGAGACAAACTCCTTGTGTGTCTAATCGCACTTGGTCAATTGAAGCATTCAATTCAAAGCTGCCACAAGGCTGTGGAAGGGCGGCCATATTTGACCAAGGTCTGTGTTGCTGCAGACACACACTTGACCTAGTCCCAGGGGTGGGATTCAATTTTTTTAACAACCGGTTCTGTGGGCGTGGCTTAGTTGATAGGCATGGATTGGTGGTCATGTTAATGGCTGGGCGTGGCCAACTCAATATCACTCACCTCGAGGCACACATCTCCTCGCCTGGCCTCTCATGACTGTGGGGATGCTGCCAACAGTCGTAAGTGTGAAAAATGGTCATAAATCACTTTTTTCAGTGCCATTGTAACTTTGAATGGTCACTCCACACAAGCAAACTACCAGCAAAGGAGGGGGGAAAAACTCCAGAGAAATTCCTGAGACAGGAAGTCTAGTCCTGCCAAGAATGTAATAAGGGTTAACGGAGAGACAGTTTCTGTAAGCAACACCTGAATGTTTCCTTCCTGCCTTCCTTACAGGATTAGGCCAGTAATTTCTTCTAACAACCGGTTCTCCCAACTGCTTAAAATGTTAACAACCGGTTCTAGCAAATAGGTGCGAACTGGTAGAATCCCACCCCTGCCTAGTCCAGTGATGGCTAACGTTTTCCTCGTTGCATGACGAAAGTGCATGTGGGAATGCACACACATGCCTTCACCCATAATACAATGCGTGCGCAATTCCCTGCCCCCTGCGCATGCACACTTCTCCCTGCATGCACTGCGCACCTCTGCACATGCATGCACAACCCCCCACATGTGCATGCGCACATGTTTCCTGCGCGTGCATCTCTCCCTGTGCATGCATGACAGATACCCGACAATCGGCTGGCAGGAGGGCGCGCACGCATGCACAGTGGATCTGCTCCAGGCGACCTCTTGCGTGCCAGCAGAAATGGCTTTGCATGCCACTTCCGGCACATGTGCCATAGGTTTGCCATCACGGACCTAGTCTGTCCTCTGTCTGGCTTTAGGCTTTCTGTGCATTTTAAATAAAAGATGGCGTGTAGAAAGGAGGCGAAGGGTCCCTTCAGATGTTCTCCTTCCAGGGGTCCAAGAAGGATTCACCAAGATCAAGCTTCCGTTGCCTGCAGCTTCCATCGGCCATCGTTCAAATCATCCCGTCACCTTGAAATTGACAGGATGTTTTGAACGATTGCCGATGAAGCTGGAATCAACGGAAGTTTGATCTCGGTGAATTCTTCTTGGACCCCCTGGAAGGAGGAAGTCCGCTTTCCCATGGGATTCTCCTTCGGAAGAGCTCAATGCCATCGTGGGCCCCGTGGCTGAGGGAGATTTACCTGCAGGGGCCCAGGAAGGGGGCTTTTCCCCAATGGACCCCCACCCGCCACCCCTCCTGTGGCTGGGCCTGCTTCTTCCGGGCTGGAGTTTTGCAGGGCCCAGGAAACTCTTGCTGTGGCCCCCTGGCGGATGGAACTGTCAATGCTGCTTTTACTTCTCATGCAGTTTTTTTTTTCCTTGTATGCCAGTTTGGAAGGGAGCTGAACAGGGGCAGGATTGGGGGGGGGGGGGGGGGGGGGGGGCAGCATGGGAAAGAGAAGTGGCACCTGCCAACGAAGAGAGGCCAGCCTGAGGGCCATGAGCGATTTCAAGCTCTGTCCCAGGACTCGGGCAGGGGCGGGCTTCAAAAAAAATTTAGCCAAGGGTTCTCTTATCTAGTTGCTGGGTAGGCGTGGCCATGGTGGGTGTGGCCTAGTCAGCCTCCTGCACCAGGGTGTGTGTGGTTTTTGCCCTCCCCGGACTCCGGAGGCTTTTCACGAGCCTCCGGAAAGGCGAAAACGGGGCCCCCTGGGCTCCGGAGGCTCTCTGGAAGCTGGAAACGGGCCCATTTCTGGCCTTCTCAAACTTCCGGCAGGCCTTTTTTCTTGCCTTCCTCGAGCCTCCATGCACACCCTGCACTTACCTGCATCCAAAATGGGCCACATGGGGACTCCGGGGAGGGGAGGGGCAGGTGGGGCCTGCCAGGAGTGGGATTTGGGAGGGGGTTCTCCGAACGGCACAGAATCTTAGCTAAGGGAGTCTCCCGAACCTCCGCGAACCCCCAGCAGCCCAGCCCTGGGGTTAAAAGAGCCTCTGCTCCTTTGGCAGCCGGATGGTTGATTCCGGGGGATCGGCAGCTCCTGGCCAGCCCCTCTCCCCATGCCCCACGCCCTGTATTTTGGAAGAGGCTTCTCTGCAACTGCCAGCGCCTGTGGAGCCACCATGAAAGCCACACACCATATGTGTGTGTGTGTGCGCGCGCGCGCACCCCCCGCCGCCCACCACAGTGGCCTCAGGACTGTGAGGAATTGCAGCTGGGGCACTAAATGCCCCATTTCTCTCCCCCCTCTCCCCTTTTCCAGACTTGCATCGCTGTGCGGTGTTCTGCCTGCTGCAGATTGGCACGGAAATCTACGACACAGAGATGGTGCTAGTGGACCGGACGCTGGCCGACATCTGCTTTGAGACCTCCGTGCTGTTGTGAGCGTCGACTCCCTCTCTTCTGGCCGCTCGGCAATCCCGCCTCAGCCCAGGCAGGGAGGGGAGGGGGGAGGAGGGGGCCCCACCTGACTCCAAAACTGGTGGTGGGGGCTGGCACTTCACCTTTTGGGTGGAACTGGGCATTTCGGGGCCAGGTGGGAATGGTGAAGTTGGTGCCCCAGGGAAGGTCCGGAGGAAACCTTGAGGCCTGCAATAGGTGGGTGCTTGCAGGCTGGGCCTGAGCCCAGAGTCTGCTCCTGGGATCCAGCCTCGGTGCTGCTGGCTGGCTGGCTGGCCGGAATCCTGTCCGTGCTGAGAGCCTGCGTTGGGCGCCTCCTCTTTCTCTGTCCCCAGCACGGAGGCCGGTCCAGGCTTTGAGCTGAAAATCGAGCTGTACAGCGCTGCCCTAGAGGAGGACTCGGCCCTGAGCGCCACCCCCAAGAAGCTGGCCAGCCGCCTGAGCAGCTCCCTTGGCCGCTCTTCAGGGAAGCAGGTCCGGGCAGCCCTGGATGGGAGCAGCTCAGGTGGCAACGGAGGGTGCAGTCCGCTGCTGCTTCCCCTAGCCCCCACCACGGCGTGAGTAGCCACCCCACCTCCCCCAGGGAGCCCTGCAAGACACACACCCAGCTGCCTCACCAGCGGGCTGCCCCTTCTTTTCCAGGGGGCCCAAATACCAGCTGCTGGCCTGTGCCCACCTTGGCCTGGCACACATCCAGGATGCCTTTCGCACCCATGACCTCGTCGTCACTGGCAACGGTAGGCAGGGATGGCTGTGGGCCTCCCTCACACCTGGGGGTCAGAGCGGCAAGGGGTCTTGGGACAAGCTCCTCGCGTGCTTGAGACAGCGGCTGGAGACCTTTTACTGGGCCCCCCCATTTTCCCCCCCCCCCCCCCCCCCCCCCCCCCAGAGGAGAGCTCCTTCTGGCTGCCCCTGTATGGCAGCCTCTGCTGCCGCCTGGTGGCCCAGCCCAGCTGCATGGTGGAACAGGTGATGGCTGGCTTTCTGAAAGTGCAGGTAAGGGCTTCACCTGTAGGAGGAGGGAGGCCGCCCTCCCCCTCACACACACACACACTCCCGGGGGCCAGGGACATGCAGGACCCCCCCACCCTACACCTGAGCTGACCGGGGTGCTGAGACGGGCCCCCTTCTGCGGCTGGGTGGGGGTCTTCCACCCCCGGGGAAGGAGAAAAGGTGCCAAGGGCCTTGCCCCCCATCTGTGTAGCAGGGGGAACAGCTGGACTGGCCGAGGCTCTTCTGCGTCCTGCGTGGCACCAACCTTCTCTGCTACCGGCACCCTCAGGATGTGGAGGGCCAGGAAGAGGCTGCCTTCACCATTGCCATCAACAAGGTACGGCTGGGCGCGGGGAGGCCGTGGCTCGCGGGCACACACTCCAATAAGCACCCAGGCCAAGGGGCGTCTCTGGCTCTTTGCTGCCCACTGTCCATAGGGGACAGCTGAGCAACCCTTCCCAGACTGCCCCTCCTGCCATGATACTTCTTTTGGGGGGGGGGCTGTGCCCCTCCCTTGTCTGGTTTCAGATCATGGAAAAATATCCTGGTTCTTAACTCACCCTTTCAGAAATCCCTCCCAATTCTGGGGTTACCTTCTCTACTAACTAACACCCTGGTAGAAGTGGGGGGGCTCCGTTCCCCTCCCCTTGGGGGACGGTTCCATCCCAGACCGAGGCGACCCACGGCAACTGGCCCCACAAGCCAAGCCTCTTTCCTCTGGGCAGGAGACGCGCATCCGGGCCAGCGAGAAGAGCCCCAGGGGGCCCGTCCGCTGCATGTCAGTGACCAACCACTACGGAGATGAAGAAGTCACCCACACGCTGCAGGCCGAGTCTCCCGCGGAGGCCCAGCGCTGGATGGAGGTCTTCTGGCAGCACTTCTACGACATGAGTGAGCGGAGGAGAGGCAATGACCAAAGGGGGGCGGGCAGGGGGGGCGGGGGGGGGGAGAAATAAGGAGAACAAGCTTCCCTGGACACGGCCCCGATTCACACAAGGAGGCCAGATGTCTGGGGAGCGCTGAGGCACAAACTTCCCTTCCAAGCTGGATCTGACGCACTCCCCACTGCAGCCAAGAACATTGGGGGGCCTCCAAGGCCAGCCTTCCTTCGATGCCACGGGACACCCCCCCACCCGCAAGCAGCAACTGGGAGGGGGATCTCGGAGTCTTAGGGGATAACCTGCTAACCATGAGCCAGCCGTGTGCAGGAGCAGCCCAAAAACCAATGCAATCCTAAATTGCATTAACAGAGGGATACAATCGAGATCAACTGAGGTACTAATACCACTCTATAAAGCCTTAGTAAGACCACACTTAGAATAATGCATCCAGTTTTGTTCACCACACTATAAAATAGATGTTGAGACTACAAAAGTTGCAGAGAAGAGCAACCAGGATGATGAGGGGACTGGAGACTAAAACATACGATGAACAGTTGCAGGAACTGGGCCTGGCTAGTCTAGTGATGGGAAGGACCAGGGGAGACAGGATAGTGGTCTTCCAATATTTGAGGGGCTGCCACAGAGAGGAGGAAGGGGGTCAAGCTATTTTCTAAAGCGCCTGTAGGTCAGACAAGGAATAATGGATTCCAACTGAACAGGGAGAGATTCAACCTGGAAACAAGGAGGAATTTTCTGACAGTGAGAACAATCCACCCATGGAACAAAAGTTGCCTTCAGAAGTTGTGGGAGCTTCATCATTGGAGGCTTTCAAGAAGAAACTGGACCACCATTTGTCAGAAATGGTGTAGGGTCTCCCAGTTGGGCGGGGGGGTTGGACTAGATGACCTCTAAGGTCCCTTCCAGCTCTGATTATCTGTTAAGCCTCTTTACGCCTCTTGTGGTTTCCCCCCCCCAGGCCAGTGGAAGCACTGCTGCGATGAAGTGATGACGGTGGAGGTGCCATCTCCGCGCCGCCCTCCGATGCTGCTGCCCAAGCAGGGATCCCTGTACCACGAGATGGGTGAGGCTGACAGGGGCCGGCATCCCTGGGGGCAGAAGTGCGGGCCCTGAGGGTCTCCCGAATCTTGGAGGGGAGGGTCTCTGTCCTCTCTGCCCCCCCCCTTTTCCAGCTCCACGTCTCCAGGGTCTCTCTCGCCCCTGATCCAGGGTCTGTGTCTGTAACTCTCTGCTCTCCTCCTGCTCTCCTCTCTCTCTCTCTCTCTCTCTCTGCATGTCTCTCTTTTGGCCTCCTCCTCCTGTCTTGTCTGTCTGTCCTGCCCCAGCTCTCCCTGGCGCTGGGGGGCCACCCTCCAACTGCGAGGGGCTTCTGTTGCAGGACAACGCTGTCTCTGCAGAGATTCGGGCACTTCTGTCCAACTATTACAGTGACAGGTGAAGTAACTGCAACCCGGTGGCTGGGCCCAGCAGCCACCAGGCGCAGGGAGGAGGGGCTGCTATGCCGCGGAAACCTCGGAAGGGGAGGGGGGGCAGGGGCGGGAGGTCCAGGCTGAAGGATCGGTGGTAGGGCTGAATGCCTTCCAGACCCCTCCAGCTGACCCAAACTGGCCCGTCTTCCGAGTGTTTTTGTGTTGAGCGGCAACTCTCCCTTAGGGGAAAGGAGGGGGTCCCTGTATGAACCGGAGGGGTCCAGGCCGCCTCTAACGGAGCCCCCCCCTCCTCCTCCCCCTTTCCTGCAGCTATTGAGCCGGCTGATGACATCGAGGCAGTGACCGAGATCCTGGCCCGGCGGGTCTCAGACCTAGGCGAGCCCGTCTGGCTCTCTCTTTTCGAGGGCTCCTCCCCCAACGGCATCGCCCCCAACTGCAACTCGGGCACCGCCCCATGCCCCCCGCAGCCCCCCTGGGGCCGGCCTCGCACCTTCTCACTGGACGCCAAGCTCAGCAGGCTGAAGGGGCGCGCGGGCCGCCCGCCGCCTTCCCCTCTGCCCAAGGCCCACGGCCTTTCGTGTTCCAGTTCCGGGTCGTCCAGCAGCTGCAGCTCAACTCCAGACTCCTCCGAGCGGAGCCTGCAGGCCCCCGCCCAGCCCTGGTTCGACCCTCGCTTGTGGCTGCAGTCCCAGGTCTGAAGGCTACCGAGAGCAGAGGGTCTGCGTTCTTCGGGGGGGGGGCTTCACCATGCAGAGACACACCAGCCGAGGCCACAGTCCCCATCCCTGCCCCCAATGAGGGGCTGACCTGGCTAGCGAAGCAGCTGGCCACGGAGTTGGGGGGGCGGGGGGGCCCCCCTCCATCTTCAGGAGAAACGCACCTTGCTTTCCCTCGTAAAGAAACTGGAATGTGCGCTGTTGAACCCGAAGAGGGGCCGAGCTCTTTCCTTGCCGTGGGCCGAGGGTCCCCATTTGCCTTCAGCCCGGCCTCTTCCTGACACCCCCCCTCACACACCCCCCTCCTCTCAAGCTGCAGGGATTGGCATGGAGGACGAATTTGGGGTGGGCAGCCCTTCCTTCCTCCAAGCTGCTCTCTGTGGGGCTCGGCGGCCTCCTTTTCTGTGAATACGCATTAAAGTGTACTGACTTGTCCCCTCTCTAGTGCAGGCTGGGTCTGTGGAGGAGGCTGGAAGAGCCCCTGGGGTGGGAGGACGGGGGGGTGGGGAGGCTTTGTCATACAGGGCTGGCTCCAGTACCGGTGGGGGGGGGATAATTTTGGGGTCCACCCTCTCCTTGCAGGGCACCTGTGTGTCTGTGACCTGACAGGGCCGCCCAGAAACCTTTGGGTCTTCAGTTAAGCCAAAAAGTGGTTTTATTTCCTTGGACGTTGTGTGTTTAATGCGACCTATGGTGCTGATAGCAGGCAAACCCAAGCCAGCGTGAACGCACCACAGCGAGCCTGTTCTGCAGGTGAGCAGGCAGGTGAGCAGGTGGGGGCCTCCCTCGGGCGCGAGGACAGTGCACCTTCTCCAAGCAGGAATCCTTTGCTCTGCTGAGTGGGCAGAAGCCAGGCGGTCACGCCGTGCGCCCATCCTGGGGCCGGTTGCCCTGCCGAAAGAGAGAAAGCTGACCAGCGGAAGGGAGGGAGGTTTGTTGTGAGAAAGGGACGCACGTACATTCCCTCCGCCACCCGTTAGAAGAGCCAGAGGCAGCCCTCGGCCCTTGCAGGGCTTCTGGGTCAGCCACTCTCGCTCCGGCCTACCTTGCAGGGGTGGTATTGGAATCAAGGAAAGGGAAATTCCTGCGCCGATCCGGCGAGTGATTTAAAGCAGGAGATTTAACAACATCTGAGTGGGCGACTCACCTGCTCGGCCCGGCCTCTCTCTCCCTCCGATCCTCTGTGCCCAGAAGACAGGACGGACCCAGCCTGGCCTGGAGCAGGTCCTGGTGAGGCACCTGGGAAAGGATAGGTGGGGCAGAAGCCTGGCCTTTGGGGCATCTCCCATACCTGTCCATCTCCCCCCCCCCCCCCCCCCCCCGACACCCCCTCACTGTTCAGGAGACAGGATCCCAGCAGGCGGTGGCTGAGGATCCCAGCTTAACCAACCCCGCCCCCCAATTCTGGCTGTTTGTACAATCCTGCACTGCCCGAATCTTAGCCAAGAAAAACCAAGGCAAACACACACCCCTGTATGGCTGCTAGCTGCCTCATTCCTCCCCCCGCCCCCCAGGGGCAGCCCTTGAGCAAGATTTGGGGCTTACCTCTTTCCAGGGCTGTCTCCCCTAGACCAGCCCTCGGGGGAGAGTTCGCTGTGGGGCTGGGCAGCTCCTCCCAGTCCACTGCCCTTCCATTGCTGGGCTGGGCTGGGCCGGGGGACATTGGTCCCTCTGGGGCATGGCTGGGGGCCTGAATTTCCTCCGCAGGGGGGGAGCAGGAGCCCAGAGGAGTCAAAAGGGGGCTCTCCTGTCCCGGAAAGTGTTCTGATTCAGGCGAGGGGGCCAGGTGGGGAGGCTCGGCCGGGGTGCCATTCAAAGCACAGGCGAGGGCTGGAGAGGGCGGGCAGAGGAGGGTGCATGGCGGTGGCCCTGACTCGGCTTGGCGGTGAGCAGGCGGGGTGCTGGCGGGGGGCGAGGCTGGCTTGGGGGCAGTGCCGGGCTTGGGGCCGACGGGGGGAGCCGCTGAAGCCTCGAAGCTGCCCGGGAGGTCCGGTTCTGCGGGGCGGCGAAAGATGTAAGCGGATTCCGTGAGGCTGCGTTGGTAGCGGAGGAAAGGCCGCCGAGGCAGTCCTATCCAGGCAGCGGGGGTGGGGGGAGAGAAAGTGCATCAGCAAAGCCAGCCTATACCCTCCCCCCCCCCACTCTATAGACCAAAATGCCCCTCCCCCCGCCAATCTGTTAGGGTTCAGAGGTCGCCCAGCCCTGAATTACTCAGACGTCAAAAAATGCGGGGAGTGGGGGAAGAGAGAGGGAGAGAGAGTCCCCCCCATTCCTTACTCCAGGAAGTAGTTGCCCCCCCCTGCTCCCATGGGGCTGGGGTGGGGGGGCTGAGCGCTGGAGCCAGGCCGGTACTCCTGCGGTCTGGCAGGCCAGGGCACAGCCGAGGTGCTCACCTGGGCCTGGGTCTCCCACGGCGGAGGAGGAGCCCAGCTGTGCTCTCGTCTGGAAGAAGCTCCTCCTAGGTGGCTGCTCCACACCTGGCCCCGCCTCCTCCTGTGCCCAGAACAAAAGCCGTGAGGGGCCTCACCTGCTGCTAAACAGCCCCCTCCCCCAGGCAGTGGCTCTGCTTCCGCCAAGGGAGGGGAGGGGCTTTTGTGGGGGTTGTGCTGCAGGGGAGGAGGGTCACTCTCACAACAGCCCTCCAGCCAGAACGCCCCCCACTCCGGCCCACCCTGGGGTTCTACTGGGGCCCCCAACATGGAGCCACCAAGCGTGTCCCTGACTCTCTGCCCCCCCCCCAGAACCCCAAGCCAAGGCTTCATTGACAGCACACACACCCAATCCCCCTCCCTCTGGCTGCCGTCTTCTCACCGGGGCCGCCTCACTGGCCCAGCTCCGAGGACTCGTCCCAGCCAAGGCCCTTGCTTGCTCCCGCTGCCAAGGGAGAGGAGAGAGAAGGAATGCTCGCTCGGGCCCCCCAGAATGCCCTTTGGGGTTGCAGGGCAGGCACCAGTTCAACAGGTGCTGGGCTTCAGCCTGCCAACCCTCCTTCTACCCTGCAGATGAAGCTCCTACAGCCCCCCCCTTCCCCATCCCAGGTATCAACCAAAGGCCCCTGCCCCACTCTACTCCCCAGATGTGGAGGGGGGGCCCTCATGGGGCTACCGCAAAGCACTCACCCGCCGGGCCTCTTCCCACCGGTGCTCTTCTGCCTCCCGCTGGGCCTGCTGCTTCCTGTGGAGGATGGGGCAGAGCCACTCAGGAGAAGCCCCCACCTCCCACAGGGTGGAGGCAGGGGTGGGATTCTACCAGTTTGCACTTATTCACTAGAACTGGTTGTTAACATCCTAAGCAGTTGGGAGAACCGGTTTTTAGAAGAAATTACTGGTCTAATCCTGTAAGGAAGGCAGGAAGGAAACATTCTGGTGTTGCTTACAGAAACTGCCTCTCCGTTAACCCTTATTACATTCTTGGCAGGACTGGACTTCCTGTCTCAGGAACCTCTCTGGAGGTTTTTCCCCCTCCTTTGCTGGTACTTTGCTTGTGTGGAGTGACCATTCAAAGTTATAATGGCACTGAAAAAAGTGACTTATGACCATTTTTCACACGACTGTTGCAGCATCCCCACGGTCATGAGAGGTCCAGGTGAGGAGATGCGTGCTGCGATGTGAGTGATGTTGAGTTGGCCACGCCCAACCAGTCACATGGCCACCAAGCCATGCCTACAGAACTGGTTGTTAAAAAAATTGGATCCTACCCTGGGTGGGGGCACAGATCTTGCCCTAGTTGCTTCACCCCCTCCCCACCTGGGAATAGCAGGGAATGGACATTCCACCAGCTTCGGGGCACACGGGGGGGGAGGGAAAGGCCCCCCGTCGTGGTTTGCCACTAGTGGTCTCTTCCAGGCCAAAAAGCAGACGGAGGCAGGAGAACAGCTGTATTTCATTTAATGGGCATCCTTCAAAGGCCAGGTGTGAATGGTTCATAGGTGTGTGTGCACGGCTCTTTGCATCACATCTGAGGTGCTTCGGAACCGACCGAAGCACCCAGGTGTGGGATTCAAATCTTTTAACAACTGGTTCTGTAGGCGTGGCTAGGTGGACATGGCCATGTGACTGGGTGGGCATGGCTTCTGTGTTTTTGTTTTTTCAGGGAAGGCGCATCATGGCCGCCAGGGGAGTGGGGGAAGCGAGGGGAGGAAGGCAGAAGGATCATCCGCTGGAAGGGGCCTCGGAAAGGGAGGCTGGGCTCCTCCCTTCCAGGGTTTCTCAAGCTTGGCGCCTTAAAGCCGCAGGGATTTCAACGCCCAGAATTGCCCCCTGGGAAGGTCCTTGCGTCCTCAAGTCGCCGAGCTTGAGAAGAAGGGCCGCCGAGGAGATGATTTCTGTCAGGCAAAGAGAAGCCCCTTTTATTCGCCCAACTCAGCCAGGCCACGAGAGGGAGGGACCTGGCATAAGGTCCCGCCTGCCCACCTGTGCTCCTCGATGAGCCTCTCCTTCTCTTGGACCCGGCGCTCCCGCTCTGCTGCTTCCCGGCGCTCGTCCTCCATGCGCAGGCGCTCCCAGTGCCGCCTCTCCTCCTGGGCTCGCCTCTTCTCCTCCTGGCGCCTCTCCTCCTCTTCCTTCTGAAGGGAGGCAGAGAAGGCAGAATGGCACCCCCCCACCCACTGCAGCCCTCGGCCAGCCCGGCATGCCCCCGTCCCCCCCTCACCTCCGCCTGCGCCCAGAAGGAGCTTCTCTTGGTGTGCAAGATCTCCAGCACGGCGTTGGTCTTCTGGTAGTTGGTCCCCTGGAGAGGCACAAGAGGGTCCCTGAAAGCAGCCTCTCTCAATCGGGGAGGGGGGAACCTTCCTCAGGTGCACCGCTCCCCAGGTACAGCTGCTTAAAGGCCAACAGGCAAGGGGCTCCCCAGGCAGGCAGCCGGAAGGGCCACTCCCGTGCCAGAGCAGTGGGGCACCCGAGCCAGCCCAGTCTCACCTTCACCCGGTTCCTTCTCTGTGCGCTGGGGAGGGAAAGGCGGGGGCTGCCTTTTTCCCTGGGAAAGTCCCGAGGGCCCCCAGTCCTCCCCGAGGAAGGGGCCTGGCTACCATTGCCCACTGTCGGAAGCGGAGGAAACACCTGGCCACTGGCCGCTTGGATGAGCTGGGGTGCAAGCATCCATTCATGGGGGGAGGGCCCTGCCCACCCCTTCCCTTCCCTTCCTTTCCTCCTCACCACCACTTCCTCAGGGTCTCCGCTCAGGTCCTTCTTAGGGAAGGCAGCTTCTTGGGGGGGCTGTTCTGGGGGGGCCACCAGGGACAGCCGGCAGGTAAGCTTTTCCTGGTTCACGTCCTCCACCCGGCTGGCCTTCAGCACCAGGTGGGCTTCCTGCACAGAGAGAGAGAGGAGACAGCAGTGCAGGGATTCCCCCCAACCCATCCGGGAAGATAAGCTGCCCTTCGTCTGGTGGGGGAGGGAGGAACTGGCCCCAGACGGAGCCTCCTCTCCT